GATATAAAGACAACACAGAAGAACATATTAAGTCTAAGATATGCATAAATAAGCGCCTTTACAGTATCTAAAAAGGAAGAAACAGAAAGGCAAGAAATAAAAGGGAATAGTTGAGCATCAAATGGTAGTATTGTGGAGAGAATAGAGCAGTACATATTAATCAATCAATCAAATATGCATTAAACCAAAATCAGTTGGGATCAGCTACCACAATATTGGGAAAAGTACATAACTAGAAAGATATAAAAAGAATTTATGAAGCTAAAAGTTTAAGAAGGGTAGACAATAAGATATATGAAATTCTTTTCCTACTTCATTCAATTGCAAGGTAATCTGAATAGAATTAACAAACCGTTCAAAATCATTTGAGTAGCCATATATGTTCTCACAGCCGAAAAATGCTGAATAGTAGAGAGGTTCTACGAAAGTCACTCCAATGCCACAGACAACCCTGTTTAACAAAGAATGCAAGGTTTACTGCTGTTAGCGTCAGGATAAAATTTGATACAAACAGTGTGATGCAGGTTTAAAGACCAACTCATCACTTCCGGACTGTAAATAATATTCATGTTCGTCCAGTTTCCTGACACCAGCCTCACCCCATAAAGGTAAATAGATCAAATATTTTTCTTTCTTTTTTAGAATTTATAACACACTAACCAGAAACTCACCCAGTCCAGATTCTGTTTCCATGCAGTTGACCATTAAAGTATGAATGGAACTCCGCTTCAACTTCTCGTAATCCAAGAACTTCATTTAAATTTAGGCTAGCATACCTGTATCAGATTTATTCAGCCAATTTATACTTACGTTGGAACGTCTCATCGATTCAAACAGAGTAAACACGAAGAAGAAGCAGGCAATAAGAATGGTACATGAATAAGAACACCACCTAGGCATAGACACACAGTTCACAGAAGCTGATGAGTGTTAAAGTAATATATGTCTAGAAAATTGGTGTAACGAGATCCTATATGAATACAGGTGGTGGTTCTACTGGAACTTAGCAGAAGCACCTTTTTAGTAACTTATGTAACAGGTTAAATTTGCTTTTTAGAAAAGAAGATGATCAAAATAGAGCTTTAGTTCCTGTAAATAGAGTACACATCCAATCTCTTTTCATCTATATCTGAATCTAAATTGCTTCTTATAACGCCTCTTGGGATGGTAATTCCAGAAAAGCATAAATAAAGAAGCCACAAGTGCAAACTTTCATCAAAAACCAACCAAAAATGAGAGTGGCAAAAATATTCTTGATTACTTGGGTAAGATAACCTCAACCAGATTTCCCTTTCTTTGCAAGGCACGAGATAATCCGGTTACATATGGTGCCAAGGATCCAACTGATGCCACTGGTGCCATTTCAGTACAAATGTGGATTATGTGGTCTCCCGACCTGAACATCAGTAAAAACAGAAGAACAGATGAAGTCCACAAAACTCAAATGTAATAAATATGTAGTACTACTAATGCCCACAGCTTAGGGGCCTACAGTATATAGCAAACTTCTAACTGACAACATTGGATAGAGGGAAGACAAAAGGCTGGGGTAAAGGGAAACTATCAGTATATTGCTGTTAAAAGCAAAACAAGCTGATTCAAACCATATACCAGATGAGAAATTCCAATTCACCTGTGTGCCATCTGTGTTATATCCTTCAGGTTAGTTTAACCTTTATGATTAAGAATTTTTCAGAAAGATAGTTCGCTAGAACTATGATTAGTCCAAAGAGAAAATCAAGCAACCAAGTATTTGGGTGACAATTGTTAAATAAATACTTCTGAAGCAATTAAACTATTGCCAAAATTTTGCTTCTAAAGTCATACATTCCGAAATTAGTCAACACATTGTTGTAAACTTACTTTCTACTTTTCCTGGGGAAAGTGACGCAGCTCTACCAGAAGCTCAGTGTCCTGTTTATGCATTATCTGTGAGAAATAATCAGCTATACTATCTATTGAATCCATGACCAGCCTTCTAAACTCTGATGCCTCCTTGCTGCCAATCAAACTGGTAAGAACCATAGAGTCTATCCTTAGTAGTAACTCAGCGCTGATTGAGAAATCTGTTTCATGAAAAAACCAACAATGAGCTCTTGGTTTTATCACCACATGCAAACTCTCCGGAGCATGTGCCAAGAATTATCAAAATTAAAAAAAAAAATGAGAAGATACCAAAATACAAGAAACCGGATAAGTAAATGCATACCAAGTCCAAGACTCTAACCATTATATCTACAACCTCCGCATGTAACAGGAATCACTTATATATCCTAAATGGCATTTAAAAAATTCTGTTTTAAACTATCAGACATTAGTCTTCTGTTGTTGTTATTGCTGCTGTTGAATGAGATTGCCCCTCTTATAGTGGGTTCATGTGGCTGCTTTTCACATGAAGGTATTGTGTTTTTCATTGAGGAAACTTCATGACAGATCCTGCAAATAATACAAGAAGAATGCAAGAATAGTACCACAACCTTTTCTTGTATACATCAGCTTTATTCTCTCTAGTTGCTCGATTCTATCGAGCAATGAACGTCTCTCTCTTTTTACTCTATCGCTCTTCCATTGCCAAGATGCGTTGTTTGTTCAAGTACAAGATATCTAGATAGAAGGCATTCAGTAAAACAAAATAAGAAGATGTATTACACGTGTACTAAGAAAACTTGGATGGACAAAGTGCATCAACAATAACTTACTCTGTTGAGCTTCTATGATAAGAAAAAAAAAGACGAAAATATTGCAGTAGATGAAAACACGTAGTAAAGCAAGGTTGAAGCAACTGAAAGAAAAACACTACAGTACCTCATCACTACTCTGGTTTCCCAACCTATGTTGCAAAACAATATAGTATTTTAGTTACAGTAGAACGGATAAACTTTGAGTCACACAGAAAAGTTAGAGGGGAGAAGGATGGATTCGTGCTCACTCCAACTGCAATGGTCCACTAGATGAGCCATTACTCTCTGCATTCTTCCTGCAAAAAGTTGAACAAATCAAAACTATACGAGAACATACAAGGAATGGAGTAATTATACGTTATCCTATAAATATATGGTGCAATAATATTTAACGGGCTAACAAAATAGCAATTTTTTTCCAATTTTCATGATAGAAAAACATTTCTTTGTTATAAACTTTCAGGAATACATAATTTCGCTTAAACAAGCAACAATTAAGAGAAGGAAATAGAATCAGAAGAGAGCCAAATGTATTACAACAACATACCCATTGCAGTAAAATGTATTACCTAACGCAACAAATGAAGCAGGAAGCTCGAGGAGGTTTGCCATTAGACGGAGAGAAGTTGGTCCGAGGAGGAGGAGCTTTGCCGATGGTTGAAATGGAAAGCATCTCCGTGATCATTTGTCCGTTTGTGTTTTGTTGTTACAGTAGCGAATACGACCCGGACTCTCTGACAGAGAGAGACGTGAATTGCTTGCTATGATAAGTGGGAGGATTGCTACTGTCACGTGATTTTGCTCCAAAGTTCCAAAATGCCCAAACACTCCTTAACTGCTTACAGCGCCCCCCATAACCGTCACTTGCGAAATTTCAGCTTTCACATGGAACGATTTAAATTAGGTTAAATTTGACTGATATTTAAAATTGGTTTGTTATAGAAAAAAATTTACAATGCGGCCAACATTCTCGGCTTCCTTATTCAGCTCATTCGAGTAAATCTCTTTCTTTGCTTAGTCCCTCTTCCCAACTATCGTCTAGCTCACGTTCATTGCATCTCAGTTTTGACAATTTGACACCAAACTATGCGCTGTTAGAAACAGCTTCTCAAAATTCAAAAACAAATTAGAAACGAAGTACACCCTCCATAACTTTTTTCCTAGACAAAAAAAAAAACAGATTTCTTGCATATACTATTAAACTAACGCAAAAAAACAATAGTATAAGCATAAAACACTAATGATTTATAATTCATAATAACTAAAAATTCAGAAACCAATATGTGAATTATAACGCAAGTCGAATGTAAGTACTCCAATAAGCACATGTCATGGCAGAAAATAATGTAGCAAATAACCCAACAGATGCTCATGTACCTGAGATTTTTCTCACAAATGGCTTACAAACAGGAGCTTTAAATTATTGCAGCTCCAAGAAGACTAAAAACTCTGTTGCAACCGTGCTTGTGCAATGAGCCACAACGCTCAGTAGATACAAATCAACAGGTAAATCAAGCGGAGATTGAGATATTACTGTACAAACTTCCCACGAGCCCCCTTTACTTTGTGCTAGCATAATACAAATCCTCTATAGTTCTATCTAACAAGCAAGGAAAACATATTTCCCATCACTGATGGCTCAACTTGCGCTTCTTTGACTCTTTCCTCAACCGCTCCCTCCTTTCTTCTTCTTCTATCTTCCGGAGTTCTTCTTCATCCTCTTTCTTTGCTATTTTCGCACTGGAGAACAAAATAAATTGAGGTCAGCACTCATCTTCCTCTCTTGCTTGCACAGGAGACTATTGAAGACGTTATCAGTGACAAGATAAGTACTACCAGGAGCACACCAGCAAACAGACAATACATGTATGGAGAAAATGTTTTCCACAAAAAATGATTTTCTAGAAACTGTTATCTTGTTTGGTAAGTAAGCAAGAAAATATTTATCCAAAGAGAATTTACATGTTATCTAGCAAAATACTATGGAGGCGAGATGAGATGGGAAGTGGGGATTGGGTGGAGGGAGAGGAGACAATAAACTTGAAATTGCAACTCATAGAACATTTTTTTCCTACTACCATTGACAGAATTGGAAAACATTTTCTTCCTCCGCCAAGAACCTCCCTCCCCCAAACACAAACACACACCAGTCTAGAAAAGTTGCTGGTTTTATATAAAGCAGCTGTCACAAGCATTGGTTCAAGGTTTCAAAATTGTAATGGAAAAATCCAAAAGAAAAAAAACGTTTAGAGCCAACCACAAAGGAAATTAACTATAGTTTTGAAATTTTACTGTTTCCAGACTATTTCTTTGTCTTGACATCACAGTAAAACAAACGAAAAGCCAGAAGGACAGTATTTCCTCTCAACTTCACCCATGCTGTGTGTTTAATCCTCTCTTTATGAAATGCATAACAGATTATTTCTAAAAAAAAGGGAGAGAAAGAAATGTCTAAACTTGGAGAAGTCTTGAATTTGAACTTTTATCCCGAGGATTAAGTTCATACTTATGCCTTCCTCTGCTTGAGAGGGTAGAGAGTGTGAGATTGCTTGCACTAGCAGATCCAGTGAAAGAGGCACTAAGCATGAACAAACAAATGTTGAAAAAAAGTTCTGAAAAAAAAAAGAAGAGGATTGTCACCAACCTTCGTTTTTCTTCCCTCAGTATGTCATCAAAATTAGCCTCCATATCACTAGTATCATCCTCATCTTGATACCTGTTGGGATTATACCTGCAAAAAAAGATGGTACTTCCTCAGGCCAACAAACTACATGAAATTCAACATTAAGCATTATCAAAGCGAGCAGCACCTTGCAGTTATCAGAAATCTTAATTTAACTATCTCCCCGACCCCACCTGTGGTATATTGTTTCATTTAACTACATCACATAAAGAACCATAAAACAAGTTTCATCTAAATCAACTATGTATCAGAGAAAGTAAATATTTAACTTAATCCATTTCCACTGGGAAGAGTATCCTCTTGTACAAAAACGTTATTAAAGGCTATAAAGTTCTCAAGTCTCACGAGCCCTTAGATAAATGAATAAACTAAAAGAGACCTACAACAAATAAATTGATAATAATAATAATAATAACAATAAAAATAAAAATAGTAGAATTAGTACCTAAACATCCTCCTAATCATACTAATAGCTTCTGCTCCATCTTCTTCTTCTTCATGTCTCATCGGCTTTCTTGCAGGGCGCCTATCTTCCAAAAAACGAATTGCATTTTTAGGAGGCAGTTGCTTTATCTGTTAAAATCAACAATCAAGATGAGCATTCTTCATCACCACCACTACTCCTTGGAACCCCCACCCACCCCCAAGAAGGACCCAAACCAAAATGAAGGGTAAGTAGGTCTTCATTCTCTGCAGAGAAGGAAAAGATAAAATGGATAGCATGCAAATGAAAATATAGGTGAGACCTGAGAATTAGACGATGGCACTACCTGTTTCTGCATGATCAGCTTCTGTTTGTATGAAGGCTCAGCTTGTTGGGGCATCACCTTTGATTTTCCTGATTGTAGTATTTCCTTTTTCGGTACCAAGTATTGCCTTGGAATAGAAGGTTGCAACTTTGAAGAGGTTGACTTATGCAAAGCAGGCACGGTGCTCTTTACGCATGGTGTCAAAACCCTCTTGCCGTTTGGACCACCTATGATTTTGGGCTGCACTCCCAAAGGCCGGCCAGGCTCACTCCCTTTACTGCTACCCAGTTGTTTCCTGGAATCTAATGCTAGTTGAGTTTGTTTACTAACAGAAACAGATTTCTGACTCAACAGTCGATGTGGCATTTGACTGCTTCCCAGTATACGTTTCCGTACTACATGATCATCTCGCAACTTTCTCCCAGTATTGCTTGAAGATTGCTTGGTGCTTGGTGGTAAAGCTACTCGTACAGCAAAAAAAATATATAATAAGTTTTCTGAATAAATAGATTACACCCTGAGCCACTAAAATAAATGATGAGATCAGCTACGACAGAAAACACTCCAGAATTAGCAACAGCGGCTTTATGAGGTAGAGAACCTTTTGGTGGAACAGGAAGTTCAGCATCATCAGATAATAGAAATGAGTAATCTCTTGTATTTCTTAACATCTGCACCTTCGTTTTTAACTGCAGAAATTCATATGGCAAAAAAGAGTTTAAGAAAGGCATCAGCAAAATACAGAGGAAATCAGAAGTAAAGCACAATAAAGAGAAGTACAATCAATTTCCACTAAATAAATTCAGTACCCCATTGTTGACTTCCGGTGCATTGTTTCTGGTACCAGATTCTAATCTTGTGTGTTCTGATGAAGAGCTCTTATTGTTCTGCAAGAACAGAAATGCAATGCAACAGATATAAAGTATGTGGTATGCCACTGAAATCAATGGAAAGGTACGTATGTGCCATCAATGTCCATAGGCTCCAATAAAGATGACAACAATTAACCATGCAATATTGGCATGTCATAGACATCACAAATTTTCCCTAGTTTGAAGGTGGAAGCTAAAGTGTTGTCTTAGACTCTTAGCATGTACACTACAAGAGCGTACTTGTGATGAAGGTGGAAGCTAAAGTGTTGTCTTAGACTCTTAGCATGTACACTACAAGAGCGTACTTGTGATGATACCTAACAAACCTTCAAGAAATATAGAATTAAGAAAACTAAACTGAAGCACATGCATCTTCATATGAATTAAAACTTGATACATACAGTGTGGTTTGACTTCATGACTTTTGCTACCAAATTTGGGTTCTCCAATAGTGACTTGCTTTCTTGGATTACTCTTTGAGCAATTACAGGCTGTGAAGGTCCAAAGAAGGAACCATAACTGAAAGTGCCGGAAAAGAAACAGGAATTAAGACCAACACCATAAGCTGCAAAACTGAAATCAATGTATACCCCCATCAATAAATCTTTAAAAGGAGTAAGATATACTTTTTCATGCAATTAGAAAAGAAAGGCAGCTCGGTGCATGAAGCTCCTGCTATGTGCAGGGTCCAGGGCAGGGCTATTGTGCGCAGCTTTCCTGGCATGCTGCAATACTTTTTGCAACTATGCCATGAAAGCTAGAAACAAACGAATCTAGAAATCAGATTTTTCGCAGAAGTCCTAATTATCTTCAACAGTGAACAGCTTCAAAAGAAACTCAGGCAGAGGGATGTCAATCATATATCGAAAGAAGACATATAAATAGACATCCAAAAATCCACTTGACATCGGTTTGCGCAGCAGAGTAGGTGAGAGTACATTCATTTCACAGAATTGATAGATTCTATATCAAGGAGATACCATATTGACAACAAACAAGGGTATCCAAATCTGAAACGCAATACTGATACTTACTTGTCCCTTGGCAATGCCTTTTTAATTTCACCAGAAAGGCCATTAGCAGAACCTAATTCTTTCTTCATCTGCTTCCTGATGCCTTCTTTCAGTCGTTGTCTCAGCTCCAAGTACTCCAACAACTCTTCTGGAGGCTGCTGGGTTTCTTCCTCCTCTGCACCGCTTTCTTCCTCATATTCATCCAAATCTTCATACTCCTCACATTCCTGAATGAATACAATAAAGCTGTCATATCAAAGCAGAAGATAAACAATTCAGAAGAATAATGGATATTCAAAAAAATAAAAATTAAATTACATCTCTTTCATATTCGCCCATAGCTGTTCTGGGTCAGCCAATCAAGTTCTCAATAATGCACAAACACCAACAATCAGAAGTCCTGAAAAGAGAGAGAGATGGAAGTTATGATCACGGAGATAAGCACACATTGGTAAAGCATAAAACAATTTCCAACATAACACAGTAACAAGAGAAATTCTAAAACTTGTTACATTTCAACAACCAATTCACACCTAAATTGAGTTGATTTGCAGAAGACAAAAGCAATCAATATCTACCAATGATCGCATATTTTGGAAACATATCAGAGATAATTATACAAATTTTGAATTGGTCGAGGAGTTGAAAATTTCATGAAAACTTAGTAATTTATCTTTATTTTATTTTTTATATTTAGAAACCCTAGTTTTTTAGGGAGAACAAGAAGTCCCAAATTGTCGGTAATCAATATTCGAGAAGCCTACAAATCCATTTTCTATATGTGAATAGATATTCAAAAATCGATCAAAAATGCCAAAAAAGAACACCAGTGATTCATTCAAGAATCAATAATTTTCATGAGAACTTAGTAATTGATCTTAATTTTATTTTTGATTGTTGGTTTTTTATGAAGAACAAGTCTCACATTGTCAGTAATTAACATCCAAGAAGCCTACAAATCTAAGATATTTGAATAAATATTACCTGAATTGATCAAGAATACCGAAAAACAACAGTGATTCATTCAAAACTCAATAGTTTTGTGAAAACTTAGTAATCGATCTTTATTTTATTTTTTATGTGTTAGAAACCCTAGTTTCTTTAGGAAGAACAAGAAGTCCCAACTTGTCTAGTGATTAATATCCAAAAAGCATACAAATCCAAGATATTTAAATAAATATTACCCGAATCGATCAAGAATGCCGAAAAACACAAGTGACTCATTCAAGAATCAATAATCGGTAATTGATTTTATTTTTTATCGTTGGAAACTCTAGTTTCATGAAGAACAAGAAGTCCCAAATTGTCAGTAATTAATATCCAAGAAGCCTAAAAATCCAGAATATTTGAAAAACCATCACCTGAATCGATCTTGCACACTGAAAAACACCAGTGATTCATTAAGAATCAATAATTTTCAAGAAAACCTAGTAATCGATCATAATTTTTTTTGACTGTTAGAAACCCTAATTTTTAATGAAGAACAAGAAGTCTCAAATTCTCAGTAATTAATATCCAAGAAGCGTACAAATCCAAGATATTTAGCTAAATATGTACCTAAAATCGATCAAAATACCGAAAAGCACCAGGAATTCATTCAATAATCAATAATTTTCGAAAACATTTAGTAATAGATCTTCAATACCTGAAAAACCTAGCCGATGGAGTCGAATAATACCGAAAAGGGCGTAGATGCAAAGAACACAAAACGAAAGTAACGATCCGGCTTCTTTGTGAATGGGCAAACGGTGAATAATATAGAAAAGAGAGAGCTGGAGGAATGACCCAGAACAAACGAGGCCAAGTCTATCGTGCGCCGGGCGTATATAGCCCGAATCCGCGTTCGGTTTCAACATACTTGGTGGCTTTTCCGTGGAACGGTGGGAGAAAAATGTATGCAATAAGGCGTTGCCTTTGGGTGTATTTATTCCTTTTATTTTTGGCTAACTAATATCAATGTTTCCTAATTTGTTGATTTCTGTTTGTTTTCTTTTACCCTTGCGCGTAAAAGATATTTTGACAAAGTCATGTTGAGGTTTTGTTTGGGAATGAGAACGACCTCAAAGAAAGGAAATCACTGTTTCATAACAAGATATAATACATAAATATGATTTTATTTATATTTAAAATATATGATATAAAAATATTAATTTATATTTATATTTCACATAAATATAAGAAATTGTAAAACTATTAAAATAGTTTTAATTTGTTTTTCCTTTTACTAAATAAATAAAAATTTATAAAATCACATAATAAATTCCTATCAAATTATTTGGTCTCCACTTAGATAACTATTTCATCTAACTTTAATTTAATAAAAAAAATTAAACATAAATTGCAGTGTACATGTCTTTAATATAATCCTCTCACATAATACGGACAATTTTTCCACGTTGAACTTGCAATTCTCGATCATGTGACCAAGAAAACGAACCAATATTGTTACTTTCAGTTTTATTAAATACAAAACAATAGAAGTAATATTTAGGTGATGGAGTAATAAGAGAACAATTTATTACTCAACAATCGGTTGGTATGAGTTAAAGTGACTATGTATTGGTGAAAATAATAATTTTATGTAAGTGAGGATAATAAATTTTTAAAAGTAATGATGTGATTATAAATTTTATTTACATATAAAATAAATTGTTAGTATATATAAATGTGAGTTGTTTTGACAGATTATAAATTTGTGAATCAATTTTTATATTAAAAACATCTCAAATTGTGATATGAAATTCTCATATCGTGATTTTTGAAAAATATTAAAACGCATTTCATGATATGATTTTAACAGGAAATATAATCACTCTAAAATGCAAAATTGAGGAATATATCTATCTTTTATTTTAATTTTAAATATTGAAAATTGTCAAAAATATCTTCAAACTATATAAAATAAATAAAAATGTCTTTTATTTATAGTTTGGTCTAAAAAGTGCCTTTATCGTCAATATTTTATTTCAAAGTTGGCCTTATGTTATTTAATGGACCACAAGTATATTTTTTCCAAATAAATATATTATTTATTTTCTTTTTAACATGCTCCTTTTAAATAATATTTTTTAAAAATTAGCAATGTTTATCCTACTTCAATTAAAAAAATAAAAATAAAAAATGAAAATATTTCTTATTGTTTTATAATTATTTTTTATTGTTATATAACAAAATTAACTAAGTATTTACTATGATCTCATATACATGACATATATTATCTTAAAAGAGTACATGAAGTTATTTTATTTTAATTAATAAAATTAGATTAACAAACAAAAAAATATTCCCTACCTTTTTATTTGTTAAAGTAATTTTAAAAGAAATAAAACAATAATAAACTCCTTTAAAAATATTTTTATTAGAAAGAACATGTGTTTAAAATATGAGTAAACTTTCACATATAGTAAACATAAAAATTATTTTTGTATGTTATAATTATATTTTGCATAATTGTGCTCCATATCAAACAAACACACACACACACATGCACGCACGCGCACACACGCCCACCCCCACCACCACCACGCACACACACACACATATATATATATATACAAATACAATTTATTTATTTTTTTATATAATTCACTATACATATGCAAAGAAACCAATTATGTAATTCGCTAAGCATATATAAAAGGTATACAAAAGATCAGTTGTATAATTTGTGTATGTATAAAATGAGAAAGAGAGAAGACAAAATAAAATTGCGCAAGAAATATTTGTATTATATAATTATAAGTGTATAGAATGAAAATATATGTATTTACATGTGTATATACAATTTTCTCTCGCTTTATACAAATAGAAACACAATTTATACATTTCGAAGCTGTTTGTATAAGTGAGAGAGGTGAGGGTAGTGAGAGAGGGAAGAGAGGAGAACAAAAATATATGTATATATATAATTTTTTCTTTCTTTATACAAACACAAACGCATTTTATACATTTGTGTTTGTATAAAAGCGAGAGAGCGGGACAATGGCCAGCGAGAGTTTGAGAGAGAAACTAGACTAACAAACAGTTTGCTACATGACACAATTAAATTAAAATGTGATTATAATATTTAATTTGAATTATTAATTTATCATTATATACAATTTTTCCTTTAAAAAACTATAGGGATATTTCTAAATACTCGAAGGATATTTTTGAACCAAAATATTAAGGGCATCTCCAACCCTACACTCTATTTCACTTTCCAAATTCAAAGTTCTCTATTTTTTCTGACAATTAACTCCAGTGCAATTTTTTATTTTACTCTTTAAAAATGATTTTTTTTCTCTCCTCAATATTATTTTATTATTTCTATTTCATTATTTTTTTTATTTCATAATATAAATCTCTCCATTTTTTTCTGAAATAATCACTCTTATAAAATATTCATGTATATATATTCCTTTTCAAATTATTTTTTAATATATATTATATTTTTAAATAATATAATTAAAAACAAATATTATATAATATGCAAGTTGGTGAACCATTTAAATACAAGTGAAATCATATAAGCATTACATAAATATTAACTTTCAAGATTATTATGTTGCTCATATAAATGCTCTATTGACGCATTTTTTCGTAATTTTTTTTATGTCTAGCTATAAAATGTTCACATCAAATATTTTCATCTACCACTATTTTTATCGCTGTAATTGGAGCCTCTACAACATCTTGAATTGGTACATTAAGATAACGTCCATCCTCGATTATCATATTGTGCAATATGATACATGTAGTCGTTATATCATGTAGATCTTTCTTTTTCCAAATATTAGATTGTCCTAGAATAATTGCAAACTTTTGAATGTACGTTCAACATCTTTTCAATCTGTATTGGACTACATAAATATAAAAATGAGGGTAAAATAAAATAAAATTAGAGATAATCTAACAATAATGACTTTTTTGGCAAGACTATAATATAAATGGAAGACATTTTTATTCGGTTCACAAAATTTATGAATTTTTCCTTTTTAAAGGATGATACTCGAGCCGTGGGTTCGATTCTTGACACCCTCAACAACTTCCGCAGCATTTTCTTAACCAAATAAAACACAGCAGCCACGGAGGAAACCCTACCCCATCTTCTCGTCTCTTCCACAATCTTCACCTGCAAACCATCCTTCCCTCATCCGCTTCATCGTCCTCCTTGCTCCATCACCCGCTCGAAATCCTGCATGTTGTTAAGTGTTCGATTCAAAATCTTAATCTAGCTTTCTGAGGATTGTTGGAACTTTCTAGACGTTGACTGTTGGGATCATCTTCAGGTTTGAAGATCCGGCTATCGGGTGAGTGTTTATGCTATAATTGTTTGTTGATTGTTACCTGTTATAGTAATAAATTAATCATTTATTCTGAAGATATAGCAGTTATTTTTCAGATCTACGGCCCAGTTCTGAGCTAAGAACATGTAAATTTTTAATTAGTAGCGTGCGGATATTTTACCCTCTTCGTTGCTTGCTCTGTGCTTATTTGTTGAGAATTTGAGGATGAGACGCGTGCTAATGAATTCATTTCCGTTGGAAGCTAATTCTGATGAATGAAATTTCTGAGTAATAATTTGAGCTCTGTTAATTGGAAGAATTTTCAATCTATATTAGATTAGGAGTATTTTTGTTGTGAATTAGGATCGTCTTAGCTCAACTTTTAGGTTAGTGGGGGCACAATTCAACCAGAAGTTCTTCTGATTCCAGTTACAAATTAAAGCCACAACTAATCCACTGAAGTTTAGACTGGATTTACTACTTTTCTTGAATTCCTCCTTTCAAGCACAGACGAAATCTTTAATGTGTATCAAATCAGAAAGGCCTAGTTACCCAAGCAACAAGTGTAGATATTCCAATATTGTTGAAGTCTGCATCTCACAGTTTCCCTTACATGAAATGGCTTTTGGACATGTATTTTTTCTTGAATTCCTCAATCAAACATAAAACAAATCTTTCATGTCATAAAATGGTAGGTACTGAAGCACTAAGTGCACATATTCAAGTTTCATTGAAATCTGCATCCGTAGTGTGAATACCGTGGAATGGTTTATGTGCAAGTCATTAAGAAAAAATATTTAATTAGAAGGATAGTGCCCTCAATCTTGAGATTTCTGCATTAGATTAGTGTGGTCTAAATGCAGCATCTGAATCTATCTTGCGGTGTCAATTCTTATCTCGTCTGCCAACTAATGTAATTTTTGCAGATCAATTGATCAATTGATCATGTTGAATTGTTTTGGTCATGTTCTATTCTTTCTTAACTGTGTGCACAGAGACCCTTGAGGATTTCTTGGTTATAAAAGGATAACAAAAATGATGGCTAAATTCTTCATACTATTGGGTATAACAGCGGATGTGCTATTTGATTTGATTTTGAAACCTAAAGTTCATGCTTCTTTTTTGCTTTCTTCTGTTCAAAATTATAATGAAAAATTATGCATCATCACATACTTCACTATTTTCAATGTAGTCTAATTTTTAGAAAATACTTTCTCTGTTTCATTTGTTTGTCTTACTTTCCTTATTAGTCCATTTTAAAGAGAATGCCTCTTTCCTTTTATGTTAACTGTTTAATTTTAAAATTCCATGTGGCATATTTATGATTACAAAATTAAAGGCCGGTTTGGTACATTATACATATTTTTAGTTAACAACCACAAGATTCATAATTTTTGTTTACTTTCTTAGACTCTGTGTCCAGACAAACTTAGTCAAATCAATTGAAACGGAGGAGTATGCAGTAAGCCGATGGAACAATGGATGATTTTGTTAAAACACTCATTGTCAACTTGAAGTGTTTAAGGCGACCTTATTCTTATTTTTCTTATAATTATGTTATTAGGGTCTCTTTCATGCACCTCAAATATTCCACTGATTAATACTTGTTACCTTCTGTAATTAGAGGTTCAAATAACTCTGACCAGTAAGATAGGTAGTAGATACAATACAACACCTAGCATATTTTTTTAAAAAACTAAACCCTGGTATAAGAGAACTTGCATAACGTTTGTCACACCCACTTGGAGGAGATCGTTATTTTAAAGGTTTGGTTTTACAAGCAATAAGGACGTCTAGGCTTGATGCAGTACACGTTTCTTGATTGTGGGAAAGGTTTTAAAGGACATAGGACAGTGAAAGTAGTACATATTACTATATTAATGGGGAGTCGAGTGTAAATTTACGATGGCAGGTTGAATGTTGAGATACAACAGTACAATCTAGATCAGTCCTTCGTGGTAGCAGATGCCTTGCTCAGCCTTTGACAACAAAATGCAATATGTGTTAAATACTTTAGTTTCAAAGAGCTTTTTTATGGTAGTTTTGGAAGTCCATAAAGTAGAATATGCAGATTATTGAAGAGAAAAAAGCTCCGAACTAAAACAACATGAGTACTAGTTCTGATATCTCTAGGTTTTGGGCCATTTCGTTGAACCGTCCTTTTCATTTTTTTAATTGAACCTTCCTTTTCATTTTTTTAATTGTAGTAGCCTATCTAAACCTCTTTATAAATGACCTGTCCAATATATTCGTTTCAGTAACCTTTCATTGGCATTCTTCGGCTTGTATTTGCTACAGAAACAATATTCATACATATTCACAAATGCATATTCCACTCGAAACATGCTCTTTTTCCTTGTGTCCCTTGTGATTTACGTATGGTAGTGTCAAGAACCCTCCTTGCAGTTCTCCTGGGTTGCCATTGTTTAGCGAAAATGACTATATTTAAGTTAGGCTCTCAAGGTGTAGCGTTCGAAGGGTTTAGGGTGGGTGTTGTCTGTCGTAGTATTGATCTCTTTTAGTGTCTTGCTTTTGATTTCAATTATCATCTGTTGTTCCCTTATTAGTTGCTACATAGACAACCATAAGGTGTCAGGTTCAAAATTTTATGTGATTTCTTCCCATCCATCCAAGTTCTTGTGGAAAGAGTTACTGGTACCTATACTTGTGGCAGGTATAGGTAGCACGTACCTCGCGAAATTAGTCGCTCCAACTGATGTTGCCAACCTCTAGGATATTACTTGTATAACTTGAATAGGTAGAAAAGTTCCATAGGAAGTCACACACTTCTTGCTGAAGAGAGTGTCACTAAAACCATCACTAGAAAGATGAATAGTGTTTGAACGATCCTAGAGAGTAGTGGTGCCGAAGCAGTTGTAGAAAAGAGCGATGTGTGAATGGTCATTGTGGATGAGTGACGCTTGAATATTTGTATAGTAGTGACACTGATAGCCAGAGACATGAATGGAACCAACATTCAAAGGAGGCTGTCACGTGTGAGCCAACAACACCCATCGACAAAGCTATCCCAGTCTTTAACAAGATTGTAGAGATACCATGTGAGGTCAGAGAAGACATATCATTGACATGATCAAATAATAATGTTCAAGAGGGTGCCCACTTATATAGGAGTGTTGGGCTACATACGTGGTAGGTAATTAGTATCTCTATCCTATGAAGGTAACTAAATATTCTATAAGTGAATATAGAGTATCTTAAGGAATCTTATAGAATATTTTATAAGATTTTTCTTATCTAATTACAATAAGTTTTAATTTCTAGACATACATGACTCTAGATGTACACACGTGATATGCAAACATTTGAACGATCTGTTATCTCCTTATGTTGTCCACACTCCAGGTGTTCAAGCATTGGGCAAGGGGCATTAAGAGTCCCATGTTTTTTGAGAGAATGAGTTGTTTCCGGTGTTTTGGAAATAGAAGCGGAAAAAGCGACGAGGGCTTGCTTCACAGAAGTGAAAAGCGTGAAGCGAAGCACGCGCTTTTTTTTCTTTCAAAAAGCGACATTTAGTATAAAATAAAAAAATATTAAATAACTAAATAGAGATAATATAGTCTTAGATTGAAAGAAATTACATTGGCAAAACTACTCATAAGTCATAACATATAAAGCAAAAAATCAAAAATATAATTAAATCACAAAATATTCAAACTCCTATTCTTCAACAAGATCCTCAAATTCTTCAAGTGTCATAACCAAGGGTTCTACTTGGTCATCTTCTTCATCATCAGAAGGCTCATCAACAAGGTTTTGACTTGCACTAGAACCTCCAACTTCTCTTTCCTTGCCCCTTAATGTACTCCCCCTAAAACTATAAATATTCTCCTCAACACCACTTGCCACAGAAACATCACCATAAGTGAGACTTTCTCCTTCGTACACTTCTTCATCTTGGTGATCTTGTGGTGCTCCAGTTAACCATTCATTTGCCTTATCAATACTATCCAACAAAATTGGATCAATGGTATTACGAGCCTTGTAACGACGCGCCAATGTTCTATTATATTTGATGAACACTAGATCATTGAGGCGTGTCAACTCCAGCCTATTTATCTTTTTACTATGAATCTGCACATAGTAGAAAGTAATTAATAGGAGGACTTGGGATGATTAAGATATCATAAATTAGTAATAATGTATTAATGTAACGTAGTTTCTCACATGTTCAACATATATTCTTTGATCTCTTCCCTCACTTTATTCGGGACTTCCAGACATACTTTTACATCTCTATAGCCACCCATGAGATGCCTTTTGTGACGAAAGATTCCACCATTGTATGTCACATCACAAAAGATACATTTGACTTTTGTGTTACTACCCATAGGAGTTCCATATGCCCAAGCCGGATCCCTCTTTTGTGGCATCTTGAATGAGAAAATACGAGTTCACTAAATATTACAAACAAAAAGGAAGTTTAAAAAAAAAATAAAAAAAGGCTGCTAACATACACGCTGATCACAAAATTAAAAAAAAAGAAAAAGAAAAAGAATTGAAAAAACAACAACATAGGAGGCAACAGTCAGTAATTAGAAACAGAGCAGGCAACAGAGATGAAGAAAAGAAGAGAAGAAGAAGAAAAAACTAGAGTAGTCGAAACTCAGAGAGATGAAGAGATGAAGCACAGGCGAAGATTGTATATTTTAGGAGAAAAGAAACTCAGAGAGATGAACTAATAAACATTCGCTAAAAAGAGATGAACAAAAAGTTACCTGCGGTCGAGGTTGAAGAGAGAGGCAGCCTCAGTCGAGATCGTCAGGGGAGAAAGAAGGGAAAGAAGTATCGCGAAAGAAGAGTCGCGAGGAGAGAAAGAAGGGAAAGAGTCGTGAGGAGAGAGAAGGTTATATTTCAGAATTTTTTTATAAAAAAAAACCTATTTTTTTTAAAAAACCCTAATGTCGCTTCTTTTTTTTTTTTTATAGAAAGCGCGCTTTATTGCGCTTTTGCCTTAGGGTCGCTTCTCACTTCTTCTTCTGAAGCGAGAGCTTTTTTCAGATCGCCTCGCCTCAAGATAAAAAAGCGCACAAGGGTCGCCTCGCTTTGAAGCGCTCTTTTCTGCGCTTTTCACAACACTGGTTGTCTCTTTACATGATTTGTTGGACAATCTTCATATCATAACCTGACTTCTGTGGTTGATTTAGGCTCAAAAACCATTGTCTTAACATTTCCCTTATTTTTTCTTAGGTTTCAAAGTTTGACAAATTTAATGTGGTGCTTTTTCTTTGTTAACAACAACTTCACATTCGAACTCCAGCAACTATGTTAACTTTTCCTAATGCATCATGTATAAGTCAAACAACTTTATCTTTTGGTCTATTTGCTTTGGTTAAAATGGGCTGAAGAAAGGGATATAGTTGGTTGTGAAGTACTGAAGCATTGATGCAAGGTAGATATCATGTGAGGGGAGAGATGTGTGTGTGTTTTCTCATCTGTCGAGACAATACTGGCAGCTGGTAAAGGTATACAATAAAGTAATTAAAATATTCCATACCTAATTAGTTACTAACTTTTAATCATCCTGTCACCTTTCTGGTTCTTTAAGGATCTTAAACTTTCTTTTAGCTTAGCTAATTAGGATCTTGTGTTTCACAATGATATAAAGTTGGGTAGTTCTTAGGAGTAAAAATATTTTTTGCAGGCACAAGCGCACACAATCAAGTCTGGTGGTTAGGCACTGATGGATTCCTCATTTCCTTTTCCTATCTACTATTTGTGTCCATGTGTACAGGCATAATGACGTATTCTTTTCTTCCAGGGGATTGACAATTTTACACCGAGAAATTCTAGCAGGAATTCAAGAAATTAGAAAATGGAGCTGAGTACCATTAAAGATGCCTTTGATCGTGTCACAAAGAAGCAAAAGGTTGCATCATCAAAGTCTCAAGAAGTGATAGAGCAGATCGGTCATGAAATAGAGCAAGCACTGTTGAGAATACAGTCAGCTAATGATACTGCTTCTTTGAGTGAACACAAAGTGATTCTTAGTGAACTTAAAGCCAAGTTGAAGGAAGTTGCTCCACTCAGTCAGATGGAAGGAACACAAAAAGAACTAAATGTTGCACTAAGCAAGTACCCAAAGCTCCTTGAGAAGTCACTCAATCCTGATATATCAAAGGCTTACAGGAATGTTGGTTCTGATATCCATACTGTTAACCAGATAATTGCCAGCCATTTCTACCGGGAAGGCCACTTTGATCTTGGTGATTGTTTCGTGAATGAGGCCAGAGAATCTGAAGCTGCAGGCCAAAAAACTCCTTTTCTGCAAATGTATCAAATACTTGAAGCCATGAGGTGTAGGAACCTGGAGCCAGCTCTGAGTTGGGCCACCACGAATAGTGAGAAACTTAAGCTGACTGGATCTGATATTGAAATGAAGTTACACAGGCAGCAGTTTGTAGAAATTCTGCAAAACAGAGGTAGAGATGGAGCTTTGAATTATGCTAGAACTTTCTTTCCACCTTTTGCCACCAAATATTTGGCAGAGATCCAGAGGCTCATGGCCTGTCTATTGTGGGCTGAGAAACTGGAGTCCTCACCTTACTCAGATTTACTATCACCTCTCCACTGGGATAAATTGGCTGAAGAGCTTGCTCGGCAGTTCTGCAATCTTATGGGTCAATCCTATGAGAGTCCGTTGAGTGTGACCATTGCGGCAGGCGTCCAGGGATTGCCAACCCTTCTGAAACTGATGAATGTGATGACTGGGAAAAAACAGGAATGGCAATCCATGAAACAGTTACCCGTGCCGGTGGACTTGGACAGAGAATTTCAGTTCCACTCTATCTTTGTCTGTCCAGTGAGTCGGGATCAGGCATCTGAGGAGAACCCCCCTATGCTGATGTCTTGTGGGCATGTTCTATGCAAGCAATCTATTACCAAACTGTCAAAGAATAACAACACACGGCCTTTCAAGTGTCCTTACTGCCCCACGGAGGTTGAGGTCGGTCAGTGTAGACAATTGTTCTTCTAATCAGCTTTTGTATTAAAAAATCTTCTTGCTACCCCCCCGCCCCCTCCCCCCTCCTCTTTATCTCTGTGCTCTTTGAACTCAATTCCCGTTCGTTCGTTACATGGTTGATGGTGCCTCTGACCATAGCGTTAATTGTGCTTAAGCTGCTCTATTCTATGTACCATGGTAAATTGGATGTAAATAGGAATTCTTTACCATTTCATGCAAATAAGCTGCCTTAAGTCTTTCAGTTCATATACCTTAGGTCAGCGAATGTGATATGAACTCAAAGGAATGCCTGTGATAGTTCCAAATGTTGTTAAACAAATCCAGCAATGTGTTGATGATTGATTGGATTGAGCAACAGAATGTGTTCTTTTTGATAACTTTTGGTTACAACACCCTTTGGTTTCTCCTTGCGGAGTTGTTACTATGTTTAACCAAATCATACCTTGGTGACTCCTTACCTAAAAAGTTTCTGGATAAACTTTCCATGTAAGCTCACGACTTTAAACGGAGTTTTCTTTGTAGGAATATCACCTTCAAGATGTCTATTTCTAAGTCAATTTCTGTTGAATAACCTACGATTGTGTTATCATATATGTGGAGGACAGTCCAACACTTGTGAAGGCGTGATATTTAAGGAACAAACTCCCCTCACATGAGTATATGAAATATCTGTTTACGCATCGCTTTAATAGTGCCAAATATAGTTATCTATAACTAGCAAGACAGTGTGTCAAAAATAGCATACATGGTTGAAGTTTTAACTGTGGTTTGTCCGCCCATTCAAATATCCACTCACTTATTAAGTGTTTTCTGTTTATTGGGACACGTCTCTTTGGATCTTGATATTCTGTTATACTGGTAAAAATAAATAATATTGGCAGCCCCACAAATAGAGAACATGATAAGAATATGAAGACATAAAGTACAGCATCAATGAACCATATAGTAATTGTTTTAGGTATTATGTTTCCCATTGGCTACTTTATCTTATTTTATTGCGACATATAAAGAAGTAAAAAGTAGGTGTCTTTTCGGTTCCAATAGAATTGTTTGGTTCGGATTGCTAAGAATTTGCCTAAAAGGTACCAGATAAAACGTACCAATTTTTAAGTATTATAGTATAGTAGTAGTTAATTCTCAAAAAGTTCTAACAGTGGTACGCAATTTAAGGAGAAAGACCACCAAAAAAGTAAAAGAAGGTACAGTACTAAGTTTAGTAGGCGTTTGAAAAAATGTAGAGAAACCAACAATATTTTTTTCCCCTTTCTTTTAAATCTACGGAGTTAAAAAGTTGACGATAGAGTTGTATTTAGTTATACCGTTTATAAATAATATTTTCAAATTTGGAACACTTCAAGAATTTTTCATAGATAAACATCTTTATTCAAATAAAATGAATTTTTTTCCAAAAGAAAAAAAGTAAATATATTTTTTATCTCTTTTTCCTACTTACTTTATCGTAGTAATAATTATTTACATTCTTCTTAAACCTTTTTTCTCTATTTGCAAAAAAAGCTCTCTATCTTTTTTCCTTAGCTTTCACAAACAAACGTATAGCTAAAGTTACGCTAACGTGGAATTTCATTAATAGATCACTTTTATCTTGCTAATTTTCTCGGGATTTTCAAGAACAGAAGATTTATCTAAAAATTAAATGGAGTTGATCATGATTATGTGTGGTCCATCACTCTAACCATGTGATTAACCCTCCCCACATTTGCTTTTTTCCTATTGGGATTAGAGAGTGCATATTAAAATAATCCCCCCTTGTAAGGTCATTATCTTTCAATTTTAATTTTTTTTTTAAAATTCAATTGATATAATGACTTCAAAATAGGGATGTATATCATGTCATGTGTTCTCATATTTGGCAACAGTGTAGAATTCTCTTGTCTCGTTCAACTTCTCACTTATTATCATCAATTATACAAGTTGATATATAGAGTTCAAAAAAAAAATTTAAAACTTATTATCTAAAAAAATTAAATAAGTATCCTAAGATAAAATTATGATAAATATTATAAACTAAACTAAAGAGTAGTAATTATCCTATTTTCAGTTCAACTAGACTTAAATATAAAAATAAGAACACAACTTTTTTATGTCGATGACATTTTTTACAAATAATATTGTCATTTCCATTATGATGATAATTTGGAGTTGGCATTATTCTCTAGGAGGGAAATTGTATTTATTTGGGCATTAAATTAGTGTGGATTTTTGTGCAATGATTCATGAGAGGTGAGGCCAAGATCATTAGAGAATCGTTTTGATTTAGGTATTCTCTGGAATTATTTGATGAGCAACCAGGCTCCTGTTGGTGTACTTCAATCAATACATCAATATTGTCCTTCATCACAACTAAAGTACAACAACAGTTGATTTGCATTTATCATTTACTACTAATAAATTTATATTTAATATAACACCCCAGTCTCTATTCTCGACTAATACCATCAGCTATTTTGTATTCATTCATCTTAAAAACAACTTAACAAATCAAACTATTAAATCCTGAATTAATTGAAGTCTATCGGGCTACTAATCAAAGGTTGTATTCTCGATCTCTAATAAGTTTATATTCCTCCCTTTATGAAATCACGCGTTTCAGTAGTTAGAAATTCGTCATGGGATATACCAAACCTTGGGTAGGATAGGGCTGTTTTTGGTCATAGTTATTTATGCACAGTATCAAAAAACAAACATATCACGCATTACTTAACCTTGAATTTCCAAAAGAAATACTGAACATTATGAGAAGCAAACAAAAGAGATAAAGAGAGACAATTACTGACCAACAAATTGAAGAAAGATTATTATTCTGTTCATCTCCATTTAAACATCATTAATATCTCTACATTAAGAAAGGATTATAAAAGTTTTGGGAGATGATAAAAGACAAAAGCACATCAAAATCAATCACCCAATGTGGGGTACCCACTTTACCCTTTCACTATCTGTTGTTTTCCTCTGCAGAAAGCGCCGAGCCGTCGGGTACCCTTTTGTCGTTTTTTAAGTTTTTTCTCTTCATATGGATGGATAGGCACTACTATATTTTAACCTATTTTCTACAATAATTAAAAAAAAAAACAAAACTAAAATCTTGCATCTTCGAAGCCGTGTAAATCACTGACTCTATTCAACGATTTTCTCATGATAGCCACTTTAGCTAGCCGTTCAGCGGCTCTCCAAGCCGATGTAGGTGTAAGCGGCTCAGCTTTATCATCTTCTCTTTGATGTACATTTATTCTTCGTCGATGTGGCTGCTGAGACTGAGACTGAGCTTGATTTTGCCTTCTGTAATGAAGCTCAGACAGCTCGGTTTCTAAGCCGTGAACGAATTCACCAGCTGAGCTGGAATTCGATTGAACTAACAAAGCACGAGCAGAGGATAACATGTGGTGCGCGCCGGTTAAGTCGTTTCGTTCAATCAATCGCTTAGACTCAGCCATGGCTCGAGTGGAAATGAAAAGATCTCTGAGCCGTTGGATATTAGGGGTAGATGATCGAACGGCGTGGGGACGTGGGACCAAAAGAGCTTGTTCTTTACAGTATACGAGCTCTTGAGTTGATGGGTCTTTGTAAGAGCATCGAACGGACAATACATGGTGGGTCCCAATTGCTGACGTGGGAACTTTTAGTTCCACCAACAATTCCCTTTCTTCCTCGGCGTAGAAATCGCCGAGTCGGAGAGAACCGGAACCTAGAGCAGCGGGCCGGTTTGTGTATGAATAAACCGCCGCTACTTCCGCCGGCGCCGAACCGGAAACGAATCCCACTTGAACTCGAAGATCCTGAACGACGACATTTATTATGCCTCCGATGAATTTTTTGAATACATCATCGTTCGATTGGTTCAGTCCGATTGAATGTACCGGAATCTCCGAGTTGTTGAGGCGCGTGCAGGTGGAAACGATGGTAGATTGATACCGTTGATTGGTGGAGATGGTGGTGGTGAGACGATCATTTGGACAGTCTGATAAGAGCATGATGCTAGCGACGGGGTTACGCTCTCTTCGATCTTCTAAAACTTTCGCAGCCTTTTTGAGAGCGTCGCTTGCACTGGTTCCTGTTCCATCTAGAGCGACAATAGCATCTACAATGCGACGTGCCGATCGTTTTCCGCTTGTTGTCATTCTCCGTAATGGTAAAAGCCGTTTGGAGGTTGTGGAGAAGGCAACAATTGAAAGCCGATCGGATGTGGATAGCGATGATATTACTAACCTCATGGCACGTTTCATCATTTGGATATTCTGAGCTTTCATTTTCCCACTAACATCAAGCACCATCACAAGATCAATAGGTGCTCTTCGGGCTGTCCTTGTCAACGCCGATGGAGCTTTAAGTTTCAATATTATGACATACGTTTCATAACTCCGGCCAACAGATACAACGGCTGCTTCAGGCAATAACCTCGCCTCGAAGTTGGTAAAATTGACCAAACTATCCTTCAACGGCTTCACGTTTGCGTCCACGAAAAATCCTTGAAATTCTTCCACCACATTATCACTCTCTTCATCATACTCATCAGATTCTGGTATCGGATTGAACCGAGCACCAGAAGTTGGAGACATCAGTGGCTCATCATCATTGTATACCTTCAAAATAGGCCTTCCCTGAAAGTTGGTTTCGGTTGTGAATTTGACATCTCCTTTTGCTTTAGGTGATGGAGATACTTCTCTAATTGTTTTCTCTTCAACTTTTACTGGTTTTTGAGTATCGTGTATCGACAATAGAGGTAGCTCCTTCCATTCAGCGTGGCAAACAGGACACACAAGGGCTGTTTGTTTCCTTAACAGAGCTGCTATACATGGAAAATGAAAACTGTGAGAGCACTCAGCCGTGAAAATAGCAGTTCCTTGCCCAGTCTTCACCGTCTGTAAGCACGTGCCGCACTTAGTCTGCTAAACATGGAGAAGAACCAAGTTAAGAAAAGAAAAATACATAATTGGATTCCACAGTACAAAAACGTTTATGATAGCAGAGAACAGAATAGTGAACAGTATTAATCAGTTATTGTTACCTTAGAAAAACGTAAGCTGGATTTGAGAAGCGAAAAAGTAGAAGGTGAACGTGGAGAAGATGGTGTAGAGCGATTAAAAAACCGGGGGCTGTTTTTGGTTTTGCATTGAAGCTTTGGACTTCCAGGGGCTGACGCCGCCTGAACAGTGGCAGGAGCAGCGGTGGTCCGGCAACGGAGTATTGAACTGGAAACTGGGGGAGACTGGAAGCGTGGGGTTGAAGGGTTAGAGAAAAACCCAAATTTGGAATTGATTCTTGGACTCGGAGTTGGGTTTGTGTTGTCTTGCTTTTCTTTAGTATCTCGATCTCTGGGGATCGATGTACAAAAAGCTCTT